GTTTTGAACGAGAGGTGGTTGCATGGTAGCGTTAAGTTACAGATTACATTGGAACAATATCTATTGTATCAAGAGATGATGAGGTGGACCTGGATGTTTGGTCTGACTCCTCCAAGATCCTAAGTTGTTCTGCCGACAAGTCACTAAATCGGGTGGCACTGAAGGCACTGCTCAGTACTAACCCTTTCAGATTCTTACACCCTTAAAAAAACAAGGATAATCATCCATCTCAAATTCAAACTCCACCTAATTCGTAATGCCGGGACTCCCTTCATGACTATTAAGTTTAATTGGGAAGTTGTTTTCTTACGGAACCTAATCTGCAGTTTGTTACTGATGCAGGTGGGAGTCCCTGAATGTCAAACTCTACTGGATAGGTGAATAGTATTCAACACACGATTGTTAACATAACCCATGCAATGCCTGCTTCTTCACTGGAACTAAAACAGAAACCACTTTGGCATCTGATAGATAAACACAAACCAGGGATCACTCCTGGAATTTTTCTTGGCTACATGCTCAGAATAAGCTATTAGAGCTGTCACAAGTAGCCAGTTTCTTAAATTATGAATCCATAATATGAAAAATTACAGCTGACATCTCTGTCTTTTATGAGGTTCCTTATGAAAGCCACAGAACGAAACTACTATTAAATGTCTTTTTATGGGCTCCCTTTTAGCAAGTAAATAAAAAATAAGTTTTATCAGAAACTATGGCACAGTAGGGAAGCAGACATAAAAAGCCTTCATGCAGAAAAATTGACAATGCAATTTTAGCTGTCATAGATTTTATGTGAATGTTGTTTGTTACTTCTATTCTTCAGTTATTCTCATAAAGCTATCCTTTGCACATATTGCAAAGCCCAGTAAGATGAAGGATACAAAAACACAATGCCAGAGAAACAAATTTCACAATGTGCAATTACATTTTGCAATGGTCTTCACCTTTGTTGTAACTAACAAGAGAACTGGTGGGTGGATGTCAAGTCTTGCCCCATTAAAAAAGAAGAAATGCTAGCACCCGCCCACCGTGAGCTGCTTCAAAACACCATATATTTCCTACTAAAGAATTACTAAATGGATTATTTGGCTACAAGTGAAATTGGAGGCTTGAATTACTTCTGACATCGACACATCACTATCTTTCCAACTTTACTAAATATGTTTTGATTAATAGAAACCTCCAGAGTGGAAGTAATCTGTATTTTACTAGATAAATGAGTACAACATGACTGAAATTTCATATTGGAGGTAGAGCATGGCTTGTATGAGTTAGATACTGCAGATCCTTTAAAGATACAAGTATTCTAGGTACTATTTGAAGCAAAATAAATTCATATAGTTTTTATGCATACCTTACTGGGCTAAAGTCTTAGAAAATTTCTCAAAACAAATATTCTTTGTCTATTGATGCTCATAAATAACTGGTCTCTCAAGAAATGCAAGAAGCTGATAAGTATTCACAGGCCAAATAGAACATAGATCAGTACAGCACAGTACAGGCCCTTCGGCCCACGATGTTGTGCTGACCTATTATCCTACTAAGATCAAACTACCCTGCACACCCTACATTTTACTATCATCCATGACCCTATCCAAGAGTCACTTAGAAGTCTCTAAAGTATCTGACTCCACTACCACTGCCGGCAGTGCATTCCACACACCCACCACTCTCTGTGTAAAAAACCTACCTCTGACATCTCCCCTATACCTTCCTCCAATCACCTTAAAATTATGCCCCTCGTAACAGTCATTTCCGTCCTGGGAAAGAGTCTCTGGCTATCCACTCTATCTAAGCCTCTCATCATCTTGTACACCTCCATCAAGTCACCTTTCATCCTTCTTCACTCCAATGAAAAAAGCCCTAGCTCCCTCAAACTTTCCTCACAAGACCTGCCCTCCAGTCCAGGCAGCATCCTGGTAAATCTCCTCTGCACCCTCTCTAAAGCTTCCACATCCTTCCTATAATGAGGTGACCAGAACTGAACGCAATATTCCAAGTGTGGTCTAACCAGGGTTTTATAGAGCTGAAGCATAACCTCGTGGCTCTTAAACTTAATTCCCCTGCCAATGAAAGCCAACACACCATACGCCTTCTTTAAAATCCTATCAACTTGGGGAGCAAATTTGAGGGATCTATGGATGTAGACCCCAAGATCCCTCTGTTCCTCCACACCACTTAGAATCCTGCCATTAACCCTGTATTCTGCATTCAAATTCGACCTTCGAAAATGAATCACTTCACACTTTTCTGGGTTGAATTCCATCTGCCACTTCTTTGCCCAGCTCTGCATCCTGTCAATGTCCTGCTGCAACCTACAACAGCCCTCCATGCTATCCACAACTCCACCAACCTTGTGTCATTGGCAAACTTACTAACCCACCCTTCCACTTCCTCATCCAAGTCATTTATAAATAATGAAGTGATCCTTTCTAGGTTGAAACAGATTAGCAAAACAGCAGAGCAATAGGCTAAAATGTTTTTAAAAGAGGAATACAATCTGTAAGGATTCCATTTACATCTCAAACTACTTGACAATCACTGTTCTAAGCGGCGAAATAAAGCAGCCAGTTTATACAAAGCAAGGTACCAGAACTACCAATGTGATAATAACCTATTTTAATTAAATCAGTTGAAGAATAAATGATAGCCATGATATTGGGAAAACTTATTTGCTGTTCTTTGATTTGATCTATAGGACCTGGTTCATAGTCCTGACAAGGCAGCAAAAGCTGTGGTTAAACATTCCATTTGAAAGACAGCACTTTCATCAGAATAGCAATTGCTAAGTACTACTCTGGAGTATCAGCCTAGAATATATGTTCATGTCACTGCAGTGAGAGGAAGGAAGGTTGAAAGGTGAAAGTAAGACAGAGCTAAAGGAGAGGTTGCAAAGGAGTAGCGGGGGAAGGCAGGAAAAGCATTTACAGAGGTCAGATTAAATGGTTAATGGAGAGGAGGGAGGAAATGGGTGTAAATAATATGTTGCGGAAGGAAGAAATGCCTCCAGGTTGTTGTAACTGTCAGGAGAATCAAACTCCAATGTTTATTTGTTCTCAATATGCTAAGACTGTACAGAATCAAACTGCTGTAGTGACTATGTATATCAAGATTTTTGTATGTAGAAAATATGTTTTTGAAATTTAAAAGAACAGTTCTCCCAGAACTCAGTGAAAGCCACTCTTTGGTTTGCCCAAAACTTGTTGGTCATCCAGAGCAAGGAGTTGACCCTGACCAAGTCTTACAGACTGGCACATTCTAAGATCCAGGATCCAGGATGGTGAGGGATGCACCAAAGCTTGAGGCAGCTGCCGCCAAGGCGCCGTGGGGAAAGACCACTATGTAAGGTCTTTGTGCCAAAGTACAATGGGTGTCATTCAGTTATCAGACCCTCCCAGTGCCTCAAAAATGTGTGTAAATATAGTCTTGTGTAAGTAAGAAATGCCTTGGGTTTGGTTGCTTTCCATTTGTGAAGGCTTTACAGAGTCGAAAAACTCTAGTAACTGTGTGTATATAAAGATTTTTATAAACAAAGTATATTTTTAAAATAAAAAAAAGATCATTTTAAGATTCACTCTTCTGCTTCTCTCTCCCACACCTCTCTTGCTTCTCTTTTTACCACTCTGTCCCCTTCATCGTTCCATAATCCGAGCTTTCCTCTCCTGTTCTTCCGCTTTCAACTCACTCATTAACATGACTTTCACTTTCCTTGTCAAGTCCATCTCGCTCCTACTCGTCTATTTTTCCCTGCCACTCCCCTCCCTTAACCTACATTCACCTATTTTTCCCTTTCCCCATCTCTTCCCTCCCTTTTGCTTCCCATTTTGTTAACACTCTCTCTCTCACTCCTTTTCTTCCTCCTCCCTTGACCCTGCCTCTCCCCTCTCCATTCTCCACCCCTTCCCTCCTTATTGTCCTTCTCCTGTCTTTATATTTTCTAATATATATCCAGCAGTAATGCATATTGGAGGATAAGATAATACGAAATCTTCAAGTGAAGTGGAAGCCAAATGTAGAATATAATTGAAACAGAATGTGGGTGCTATAGATCATTCAGAGAGGCAACATTGTTGTGGTAGCATATGCTGTAATATACAAGTTGCAGACAAGAGACTTGGGTAGTGATGGTAGAGGCTCCTTCTTTCTTCTTTCGATCACATAGCTGATCAGGAATCTCCCTACTCCGACCAATGGTATATGTTGGAAGGATAATCACATTGTTTGGCAATATTATGAATGGACCTTCTTTGGTCTAGGATGTAACTTAAACCTGGAACTTCTGGCTAAGAGGGAAAGTTGCTACCCACTGCATCTCAAACCTCTGAAAAAGGATATGAAAATATAAAACATGGTCCATTTTAAACTTATCCATTTGATGCTATCTTTAATGTAACATTATAATTTGAAAATATTGTTCATCATTAAATAGCAAGACCAAATAGCAATTTCGAAAGCAGAGCTGCAAATTTACTTCAAGCTTAAGTGTATTTTTCTGTATTGGCTGGGAACATGTGGTGAGGTAGTAAACTGAGATTCACTGACCAGTCTATGTATTTTCAGCGTGATATATTTATAAGCACAATTTCCATAATGAATTTGGGCTTAAGAGTTTATGATGGGAAACGTTGAAATTTAGAACAAATGCTTGACAATAGAATGTAAAATTTTGTTGGCAGAAAATCTGTTTGGATGCAATTTCTTCAAAAATATAAGTTCATACAGAGGCACAACAAACATTCTCAATTTTGCCCCACTTTTTAGCCTCAGTCTGTTTCTTCTCAACTACACTTCCTTTGGCCTGAATGCTGTGTTTAGTTTGGACTCCCCACAAGCCATGTGAGAATATGATGCAAATAGGAAATATTAAATACTAAAATATCTTTATTAATAGTGCAATCTTAAAAAGAACTCACTTATCAAACATTCAGTCTCTCGTCATTGTATGATTTGAGATTACAGATAAATGTGACTGATCCACAACTTTATTTTTCCATGAACAGCTCCAAGTGCTCCAAGTTATATTCGATTCAGTGAACTGACAACAACCTCTGTGAATGTGTCTTGGGGAGCCCCAAAGTATCCAAATGGAATAATTGAAGGATATCGACTAGTTTATGAGCCTTGCACCCCTGTTGATGGTAACATATAGTTTGTAAATCTATTCTAAAAGGATTATTGTACTAGTACACCAATGTGCAGAAGGTAGAAGAACAGCAGAAGGAATCCACCTTATTGTCATCTAATTTTTACAATCTGCCTTTTATGTCCGTTTTGTATTACTGCAGTTAATTATCTGCAGAACAGTGAGTTCACCAGCAGTGATTTTGCTATGAAATAAATCATCGAAATAAAAGAAATAGCACTATGAACAAGGTACCAAAATAATAAATGCAGTGAGAAAGAAGAGAAAATTGAAAGAAGGAAACAAGTATACCAAGTAACAAAACTTGCTGGCATCTTGTTTTGCTCTTGGCCTGAATGCTGTGTTTAGTTTGGACTCCCCACATGCCATGTGAGATTTAATCAAGAGTAGTGGTCAGTTGGCAAAAATTCAATTGGATACCAATGTATATGTAAATATTCCACAGCAGAAAGTACATGGTCAGAAGAGGAGGAAGAAATTGGCAAGAGAGAGAAAAAAATTCACAATAGGGAGCATGTGACTGTTTTCAGATCTACTGATTTATGATTTCCGAGTGATTAACTTGTAATTGTTTGCCTTTCTTCCAAAGTTAATCTGTGCAATTAGATGTAGGTTGCCCTTGTATATTGAAAATTGGCTGGTTTCAGTAATTCTCTCTCTGTGCAGGTGTCAGTAAGATTGTAACTGTGGATGTGAAGGGAAATAGTCCTCGATGGATGAAAATTAAAGACCTGTCAGATGGTGTGACTTACACTTACCGAATTAAAGCAAAAACATACACCTACGGACCAGAAATTGAGGCAAATATCACCACTGGACCAGGAGAAGGTATCTCCATTTCTTTTATTATTCTCCAAATTATTCTAAACCATTGGAATTGTTTGGAGTTGCAAATATTTATAATATTAACCTAGAAATAACTTCAAATCCTGCCAGAGTGAGTGATAATCGGGAGCCTAATTTCCACACAGCATCCCAAGACCAAAAGATGAAGCAATTATACTGTGTTGTTTAAGAATGCTGTTTCCCAGGCAAGTCTGTCAGGGCTGAGGAATAGTTCAGTCTCCGTATAATCCATATCCTTGTTAAATACTTTATATGTAAAAAGATCCTGCTTTTTGTCCAGAAAAGCTCTACTTTCTAACATCGTTTTTTAAAAAAAGCAGTTTATTGTGCTGGACCTGTGAGTTCCCTTTGTTCTGGTGACAAAGAATAACTGCTATCTATGACCTCACAACTATCAAATGGATTTGTAAATAACGACAATGATATAGAAATGTGAGATCTGGAGCAAGCACATGAAGCATAGAGGGGAAGAGGTGAATCAGGCAGCTGGTTGAATGATTTTGTGATAAAGAATTTCACGAGCTTCCTACATTGTATTAGAAATGAAGATGACAAACAAAAGGGAAGCCGTATATCATTTAAAAAGGAGCCTAGGACTGCACTTCTTCTCCAATCACTTACCTTTTTCTAAAATGGAAAGTGATCTGAGTTTTAGTGGACCTATGGAAATGGAATTCTCCTGACCAATCTTCATCTCCCAGCCAGTATCACACAAAATAAAGTTGTCTCATTATTTATCCCATTGCTGTTTTTGAGATTTTTTATGAGTGGTGTTATTGCTTCCATTTTAATATTGACTACAGATTTAAAAAAAACTTGACTGAGATTTCTTGTGAAAGTCAGCATCACATTCTGTTTATATTGATTGGATATGTTTTGCTTTCCCTCAAGGTGCTCCTGGTCCCCCAGGTGAGCCGTTGATCTACAGGTATGGATCAGCCATAACTATTCATTGGTCCAGTGGAGATGCCGGCAAGGCACCAATTAGCCGATATGTTATTGAGGCGAGGCCATCAGGTGAGAAGCTTGATTCAGCTAATTATTGTTTCATTCATCCATTCAGCCCAATAGAATGACTAAGACCTGGGACTGGCCTTTTGGGAAATTATGTTAAGGGCGAAGTTTAAGAATGGATCTACCATGCATAATAAATACATGCTTGCAAAATACCTCACTTTCTTTCTATCCAGTGTCCAGAATGTTCTTTGTTTACAGTCAACTTTTATTTGGTCATTATGTCACTGTAAAGATAATTAATTAAGTGCACACATGAGAACCACATATTACAAACACTGTGAAATCTGAACTTGATCTGTTACAGTTTTAAGTGCAAGGTGATTTGCTGCAGAAATGCTACTAATATCCTAAAATGGTTAACAGTATTGTTGAAACTAAATCATCATCTGTTTTGGATTGCTTGCTTTGCTTAGGTTTTCCAAGAATGTCTCTACCATACTTATTGCGGTCTTTTAGATGTATTACATACCGTCCTTCACTGTATTAATGACACTTTTCATGTTCTGTTTAACGCAATCAAAAGCAAACATTGAAAAGATTTAGAAAACATAGAGCAAAAAGTTTAATGTTGACAAAGTAACTGGACATGGAAACAGTCCACGTCTTGAATCTAATCTTACAATCAATTCCATGACTGGATATGTCATCAAAAAACCAATAAAATAACTCAAATCATCCCTCCCTCTGTCAAAACTTAGCTCATTTTATTTTCAAAATATTTTAAATGCAGTTTAAAACTTTCACTGATTTGAAAAGGAACATGATATGCTTACATCACAGTAGAAGAGTTGCTTTGATCACTGTAATCTTCAACATGAACTTTCTGAATTCATTTACAGTATTGTTGTTGTTAAACTATATGAATGTAACATTTCCTCTCCTACACACAGAACAGGACTTTGGTGGCCAAATGGATGTGGGAACTTAAATGAGCAGGCTGTATTTTCCAGACACTGACCATGATGTGTGTTTCCCAATTTAGTTTTGAGATTTAGCAGTTTAGCTGAGAAAAGAGGATGGTGGGATTCAGCAATCCACCTGATTTGGAGTGATTTCTATTAAAACATGTCAATGAACTTGTCAGCTCAATGAGGACTAGTGTGCCATTTTGCTGTGAAGGCACAGGATCCATGCTGGATCTGTAATAGCAAAGTAAAAGGAGGAGGCAATGCAGCCAGGATTCAATAGTGGCTGTAACATTCAATGAGATGGGCTCATAAGAAGCTTCACAGTTTCAAGGGGTGCAATTTATTGGCATATAGTTGTCATCAGGTAAGCAGAATTAACAGAGGATGTGCTCTGCACGCTGAAATAGTTGAGAGGTTGTGACCCTTAGGTGTCTTGGGGCCATGGGAGGTGGTTAGCATAAATGTTGTAAACTTGCCACAAGCAAGGCAGGCCATACGTTTGAAGTGCTTGTAGGAGCAATTAGCAATGAGGACAAATGTCCTCATGAACAGGTACAGATCTTTGGCCATGAGGTGGATAGAAGAGAGGAGTGAGGCAATGAAGAATACACCTTTAGACTGAAGTGCTCTGCCAAGAACAAGCTGCTTGGGCATGTTGGATATTGGCACATTGGAGGAGACTGCACCCATCTAGGCAGATGGTATCTGAAATTTGTGCTGTAAGTGAGGAAGACCTTACAGTTCGGTTGGTCATGATCCGTAGGAACTATTAAAGTCACTCCTTCCAAGGATCTGCAGAGGATCTTGGTCAAGCCTCTCAAGTGGCTGCACACAATTTGCATCTCACAGATTACAGCTGCTAAATTTGTGATACACATATTTTACAGATGAGGCTCAAGGTTTGTGGTATTCACCTGCATTGCTGCAGGCTAGAGTATCATTAATTGCATCCATGTTTGTTTTTGTTTTATTTATTGATGGGATATGGGCATTGCTGCCAAGGACAACACTGCAACCAAAGCCATCTGTTTGCAAGGACAATCACTAAACAAATCATTGGATTTCTGAAGATGCTCTTCTGATACCTGGACTGCTCAAGGGATGCCCTGCAGTACACTCCTGCAATGATCTTGTAGTTGTGTCCATCTGTTGCATTATCCATTGATCCTTCTAGAGAGGTGGACCTTGAAGAGGATGGTGCAGTAGTTCACACAGTTCATCAGAGGGAGAAGAGAAAGAAAATGCAAACCAGCGTGTGTCAATCCACAATGCACAGGAAGTTGTCCGGGCTGCCTGAGGAGTTATTAAGATGGTGTGAACGCCAGCAAACTTCTGATCCATTTTCCACACACACTACTCACACAGCAGGACTGCATGGCTCTGGCAGTTTCATTGCTTTGCCTGGTAAAGTGCATCCATTCAAAATACAACTCTGATTCTTTTGTATTTGCAACCCATACTACACATCTCTCCAGTGGTATCAGTGCCCTGTTCAAGGAGCGTTGTCCCCCTTTACCATGACTTCTCCCTTTACTTGTTTCAACATTGATGAATGGGAGCTGATATGTCTGGCATTGTGGCTCAACATCATAAACGTAAGTAAAAAGTAATAGTTTCCGCAATACCAAATGAATGTCACTCAAGTGAACTAAGCAGTGCCATAGTTGACAGTTTGACTTTCAGTCTCGCCCTATACAGTATTCTCCTTGTGACCTCAAATGAGGTGGAAGCTGCTTCTGTGTCTGCTTGTGCCTGGTATTGTCATAGTGGAGGTCCTTGACATGGAGGTGCAGTTAGGGACAAGGAAAGCCTCTGTCAAGGTGCCTGCATAGATGGTCCCTCCATCAGAGAGGCCAAAGAAGCCACGTGTGATGTGTTCACCTTTTTGAGAGGTGCAATGAGGGTTTGAAAGAGTAGTGCAAATGGGATCACTGAGCTCCTTTAGGCGATCCTAGGTTTGATCAGCATAGCCCTGCTCACATGGTTGCCTTATGCTCCAGAGGTAGTTTCAGTGCATCGCACCGCTAAAAATCCACAAGGGTAGAGGGTGAATTTGCCCCCAGTTGCCCAGGAAACATCATTCAGAGGGATGACCAGTCAGACCATACCTTCTTTGGACATGAGAGACAGAATTAGTGAGAGGCCACTCGTCCATTCACTAGTGAGTCAGCAAGGCGTATAGAAAAATGAGACTGCAAGAGAAGAAGGAGGAAGCTGCTCCAACAGAACAAGGAGAAGTTTTGGAAAGGCTCGGCACACCTGATGGCATCTGTGCAGAGAGAGAAATAGGGGGAAATAATCCATCATCAGAACTAGTGCAGGTTGTTGTCCTGAAGCATTGACTCCCTCCCGAAATGCTCCTTTGCCTGCTGAGTGTTTCCAGCTACTTTTGTTTATAACTCAGATTTCCAGCAGCTGCATACTTAGTTCTCCTTATTTATGTTCAATGCAGGTTATTTGTAAATGTGGTTGGTTTTAATTTAACATGATAAAGTATTTGTCACGAGATTCAAAGCATCCTTTTTCTGTTAAAGCCCACTTGTGTTGATACAAATGGCATGTTATTGCAGGTGAATTGGTTGCTGGTGATTTACCAAAAGGCTTTTCCCCCATTTTTAAACTTGGAAATAAAACCAGGAGTCATGCAGCAATTGTGAATGTGAGTTCAAGGTATTCTCATGAGGACATGAGGTTCTTGTTTATGGTGCTTGTGAAGTTCAAGTCTGTTGAATGTTGCTGCACAAATATTGCCTATAGCCAGGTTCACAGCTGACTGAGTTGTGTACAATTGTCTGACAAAACCATGATTGGTGGGTGGCTAAAGTCTGCGAGGTTTATTTCACATCTCCAACTCACCCATTTCTGGTTTTAACAGATGTAACCTGAAGGGTGAGCAAGCAAGTTGAATCTTAACTATAATAATGTGACTCTGCTTTTGGGATTCAAAGGTTAGCAGCTGGATTTTCAAAGTCTCGGGAAACTGAGCACCACTTCCAGATGATGACTTGGCAGATTCAGGAGCCTTTATGTCCAGAACAAAAACAGAATTTGCTGGAAAAGCTGAGCAGGTCTGGCAGCGTCTGTGAAGAAAAATCAGAGTTAACGTTTCAGGTCTGGTGACCCTTCCTCAGAACTCTCCCTCACGCATCTGCTCCGATCGTCCTGACACTTCTGACTTCCCCACTTATGAAAGGCCTCAAAAACTTTGTTCAAATCCTGGCCATATATTTGAGCCTACAGTTGGCTGATCAAGTCAGCCATGATCTTGAGACTGATGGAAGTAGAAACCTTCATGAGGTTAGAAAGAGCAACAATCATGCCAAATAAATATTACATTTTGAAAGAACAAATTAAACAGTGAATTTAAGGCATTTTAGTGAGCACCTGTGAATTATGAAATTGAAAAATGGTTTTCAAAAACTGTAATATATTAACTTGTAGAGAGGCCAATGAACTGTGTCCTATTGCCTGTGACTACTGTTGAAACATGTTCTAATTTTCAATTCATTCAAAACTGCTGAACCTTTGCTTTATTGTGCATGAAAGCTTAATTTGATTTATATCGTCATGACTTCCATGGCTGGTTGATATTATGAAATGATCGGTTTCTTTAACTTAATGCTGCTCTAACTCCCTGATGACTTAAAGGGGACCCACACCTCTTGGAATGACACTAAAGCAAAGGATTTGAACTTCCTAGATTCAAATGCATGCTGGGTTATGCAAAGGTTGGTGTATTTATTTGGCCTGAGTGTCTCTAGGGTAGGAAGGGGAAATTGAGCCAGAATTCCACATCGTTCAAATATTTCTCTCTGGATTTGAACTTGAGACAAGCATTAGGCTTGCTAAAAGACAATTTGTTCCAGAATATTGTGTGTTAACATTTTACTTCAGTACCAGAAAATATTATTCCATTAAATTTAAATCTACTCTAGTTAAACATGTTCTAGCGTAACACATTGTAGCTGAGATTGAGCCAATAAAGGTACTGTTTCGTGTGGAACTGAAGGTGAAAAAACAGAAAGAACCTTAGTTTATACTGGCCCAGAATTACTTAATTTTAGCCAGAGCAGCCATATGTGTACCAGTTGT